ATTTTCTCAGCTGAATGGTCGTGTGTCCTTGATGTCATGAAACCAGAAGAATCTCGTTATTTTTCTATTCTTTTCTTGAAAAAGAAACTGTAAAAGTTTAAGGTCTTTTCTTTGGAATTTTCAAGAGAATTAAAGTCAATGTCAAGCTTTAGAAGGTTTGCATAGTAATGCCATTTTACAATTTCACTTTTTAGAAAAGAAGATATAGCACATTCGTCCTTGTTTTCACGAAGTGATGGTAGTGAGGAAAATCGTCACGCAAAGTGAATGCATTTTTTTTCCCTCCGTCACTTCGTGAAAACAGCGACGAATTAACGAAATTCTTCCGGTTTCATGACATGAAAGAGATTAATTGATGTTCAGTCATTCACCGGCCCCCACCCTTTTACAAAATCCTCGGTCGGCCATTGGTTAAGATCTTTTTGTCTCGCTTGATCGAAACCATAAATGAGTCATTTGTGATGATAAATAAAAGAGAGCAAATAATGCGATATATTCCCTTTAAAGATATTTAGACCTTTGGTGTGTACAAGAGACATTACTGGAGTACAGGCAGGACCTAACGTTGGTGAACATTGGCCAACAATTTAGGATCTGATATCGTGTACACAGAAAACAGCTAGAGTTAACCCTTTGTATACGGGAGCCGAGTAGTCCCTGTATTAGGCCTACGGTAATTAGATAATTCAGAAGTCAACGGGTTAACGTAAAGAAATTTCTTTAAAACTGCTGATATATGGGACATTTTAACCCGTATTTTTATAATGCGAACTACATTGATCGGATTTCTTGGAACATTCATCTTCTTGACAACGGGGAAATATTGCAATGGAAATTCAGGTAGGCTAATTAGCTTTTTTTATTGGCAGAATTACATCACTTTTCCTTTCAAAACACAGAGGAAACAGTCAAGAAAAATTAGATCGCTTTTCATAAAAAACACAGAAATGATAGTGAGGAAAATACGTAATGGCAGGTTTGTTTATACCTATACTGACTGTAGATTGCTATTTGAATTAAATATACATGTTCAGGTTCCATTTAATGAAAATAACGAATATTTTGATTAAAAGTGATTTTGTAGAGAATGTTGGTGATCTATGTTTACACATACTCATGTATTTTAATGCCTAGGGCCCCGGTCAATCGCAAATTTGCACTCTCCCATCCGTTATGTACATAGTTGCGATTAATCGCAACTGTTTATCAGAAGGGGCCCATATCCAGAGCCATCTATACACAGAGTTTGGCCAACCACATTAGGGACTTTTAGATTGAGTGGACGAGAACACGACAAATGCCGACTGATCATGCGTGTCAACGTACTCAACTGCCCATGTTGACTACAATTAGAAATCTTTTAGATTGCACCCGACGATATACATGCATGCAGGAAGTAACCCTATGAATATGACGGACAAAGAAAGAGGACAAAATATACAGTTCCTCATTCTACCCTCAACAATAGGCCATTTTCGTAATGTAACCAAATGTAATGCATACATCTTTGTGAAGTGCTTCAATACAAATTATTTCATTCACCTGATAAGAATAATAGTATTTCAATAGACAGAATCAAAACTGCATGCATTAGTTGTTGTCAGGTTGGACAAGCATTATAATTAACAACATTTGTATAGCGCTTATCACAAAATATGTCTCTAAGCGCTTAAGAAAAATAGAAAGAGAAGGAATTACAGCCAAATATTAAGTTATACATAATAGATAGTGGATAATCGAGGGGGCTGCATATGCAAATGAAAAAGGCTATTTAACAAAAAAGTAGGTTTTTAACATGGATTTGAATTTGTCTGTTGAATCTGCTTGTTTTATACATTGAGGTAAATTGTTCCAGAGTTGAGGGGATGCTGCATAAAAAGTTCGGGAACCATAAGACTGGGTATTGGTGGCAGGAACTATTAAGAGTGATTTCTTGTTTGAGCGCAGGTTGCGGGAGGGTAAGTATTCTGATATCAGCCTTTGAAGGTAGACTGGAGCTGTTTTGTCAAACATTGGAAAGTCAGCAATAGGATCTTAAAATCAATTCGTTCCCGGACTCTTAGCATGTGAAGCTCCCTAAACAGTGGAGTGATGGCTTGACCTACCTAGCAACACTTACCAACACTTACACAAATTGTCGGTGAACATGATATTAGTCGGTGAAAACTACCGACTAATTGTTTCATGAAACGCCCCCCCCCCCCCTGTTCTACACATTTGTACATAATAGCAGGGAAGGGATACTCCTTTGTCTACCCGAGGAACTGTTTATTTTATGTGCACGCGGCATATACTACTATAGTCCAGGCATAATTTGATATGACCTCCCACTAATTGCAACAGAAAATGTCTCGACTGTTTTGTGCTCTTGGAGGTGTCCATTATAACATATCAAAAGTCTTAAGGAATCCGGGTGGGGGAAAGTGCCATGGCAGCCATTTTTTCAAAATGGCCGCCATGTATAACTAATATTGTACAATTCTGGGGATTTCTTTTTAACAGCACCTCATTTTACCATGCATAAGGTGTCATATGAAAGACAATTACATTTCCTACAAGATGATACCTCATTCATTGGGTTTTGGGATGATTTGCTTAACAATTTTGAGCCAAAAGTGTGATTTTTTTACCGTTTTTTTCAAAAATGTGAATTGCGCCAAAATACATATTTCTCCATATTTATTTAATTCTTATGCTAACCAACTTGAAAATTGCTAAAAGACTTTTCAGCATCTTGGTTGATATTATATCTAAATTTTAAGTCTATTACTTTTCAAATTAAAAAGTTATAGCGCTCTAAAGTTGAAACTTTGTTATGAGACAAAATGGCAAATTTGGTTGCTAAGGGCTATCTTCTCCTTAGCAACGGTAACATATTGGTGTGAAAAATAGAATATATCACGAGAAATTACTATCACCAAGCAGGTGACTACTTTTATAGGAAGTATAATGTCAAATGATGCATTTTCATCCAATTTTAATGATAAATATCGCTTAGTTCCCGTTGCTATGGTAATAATATGCCTAGCAACCGATATAAAACACATATTTTTGTTGTAAATCTAATATTTCCCATATCTCTGCTTCTAAATAACATAGAGAGTTTTGATTTTAAGTGCTAAACATACATTTCCAGAGACAAGGAATCAAATTAATTAAATTTTAATGAGCTAAACCTAGCCAAAAAGCCAAAACAGCAGCCATTTTCCAAGATGGCCGCCATAAACCTGATATTTCGCAATATCTCTGCTTCTAAATGACTTAGGGCTTTGATTTTCAGTGCTAAATATACATTTTCTGGGCCCAGAAATCCTTTGAAACACATTTCAATGAGCTAAACCTGACCAAAAAGCCGAAATGGCAGCCATTTTCCCAAATGGCTGCCATAAACCTGATAATTCCCAATATTTCTGCTTCTAAAGGCTTAGAAATTTAGTGAAAAACATACATTTTCTGGGGCTAGGAATCCAATGACACACATTTCAATCAGCTAAACCTGACTAAAAAGCATTATTCTGAGGATGTGTCAACTATATACCATGGCATGCCGTATGCCTGATGGACAACGTACATGTATAGGTCATAATTATTCAAGGACATTATCTTGTAATCCTGTGACGAAAGGAAGGATGCCAGAAACAGTCAAAGCCCGTGTCCTCCATGTGCATGACCTTCATGCTGCAGATGCAGTGTACCACTAGGTCTGCAGTGTTAACTAATGCTGTGATGTCTCATGGAACAGACATACCTGATTTCAGTTCGGAGTTTGTCTAGTATGCTGCAGACAAATGTAGACCGCAACATCTGTACCCTTTATGGTAACAATACATTCCATGGCATGGGGATGATTGCTGCCATAACCCCAGCCACCAAGACCAGCAGACCTACCCTCAGGGCGCAGGTCACCTCCATCGATATCTCCACGGTGGGACGTATTCCTATCCATCACCACAAAGAAGAGAGCCGCGGTATGACAACACTGACATACCAGAAGGTGATCAATATGAAAGCAAAGGACCCAACAGCAGACCTTGATCTCATGTGGAAGACATCCGTTATGTTCACCTCACCAAGACCGGCATGGTCTGGACTGATGCAGCTAGCTAGTGCATCATGGTGACCACCCCGGGAAATCATCGGTGATGTTTCTCCCAATGATCGACATGAATCCCAGCGATGTCACTTGCATCTATTCCACACTGAAGTTTGTGTGTGAGCATGCTTGTCGCCATGGTGTTACGCCCATCATCACCTTTGACCAACCACTATGGTGGCTAGCCCTCATGATCATCGAGACTGAGCCCACAGGAAGTGTTTTGAATGACATGCTTTTGCGCCTGGGAGGCTTTCACACATAAATGAGTTTCTTGGGAAGCAATCTATGCAGATAACGCGGTGGTACACATAATGTCAAGCAAGGCTATTGCACGAGCAATACGGGGACATCTACTTGTTGATGCAGCACTGAACGCCTTGATTTTGTCAGACGCACTTGGTATGCCACTCCCTCAACCATCTGCAGATCCACATGAAGTGGAGGAGACCAATGAGGCAACAGTGTCACCAGATGATGAGCCTATGACAAACGGAACTGGAAACGCTGATCTTGATGAACGTGTTCCCCTTTACAAGAATCTGATGGAAGGTTCTGTGTCTGCAGAGGAGTTCTGCCAAGCTGATGTTTTAAACAGAATCAAGAAGCTCCTCTGGGCCAAAACCGAATCCTTGAAGTCCTCTAGGACCGCCACACTTTGGCTACAGTACATGGAGATGGTTGACATACTACGGAAGTTTATTAGAGCAGAGCGCATTGGCAACTGGGCGTTGCACCTTGAAGCTGTGTCAGAAATGTTGCCCTACTTGGCAGCCTCTGGGCACAACCTCTACACCAAATCAATCCGCCTCTATGTGTAGCAAATGAGCAAGCTCAAGGATGAACATCCAGATGTGTACCAACGATTCAAGGAAGGGTTCCATGTTGTCAGAAGAAGTGATCGCCTATGGCTGGTCTTTCCGTAGATCTCACCATCGAACAGGTCCTAATGAGGAGTATGAAGACCAGCGGTGGCCTGACGAGAGGGCGAGGCATGGCAGAGCAACAGCGTCTCATATGGCTGCTCTCCATGCCTGCCTGTGCTGAAGTCAACAATGCTATTCAACAGCTTACAGGTGTAAACTATAACACTGGTGAACAAAACAAGGGCATGCAAAATGCTAGACAAGCACGTGACATGAAAGACACACATGCAGTTATCAGCTGTCTGAAAGAGAGAAAACCCTTCAGCTCAGATCCGAGCTTGCGCAGCATTTCGACATGGGTACATGCAACCACAAAAGTCAATGTGGATTCAGCAAAAACTGTTGGAACAGCAATCCTGACCAACATGGATGGACAAATTGCTGCTGACTACACATTCAAGAGGAAGGATCAGGCCATCACCTTGGCTTTGAAATCGGCAGTAAAGATTGATGGTGAGTCAGTACAAGTGGATCCCCAGCTGCTTTTCCAGCGACTGACAATTGCTGCGAAAGCTACAGAGGCTCTAGAGTCTGTGTTCAAATATGAGCTGTGCAGTTACCCACCAACTCTGTTTGATTCCTCACTGCTGTTCCGACAGCCACATAAGCCAGTGCTAGCAGATGCTATCAGGACACTCCTGACAAAGGATGCACCAGGAATCACAGGCCAAGTCCACTACGTGTTGGATGTTGGGACACTAGTTCAGCGCATTCCATAGGCACGTGGCTCAACATTAAAATGTATCTGCACGCAATACACAGAGTATGTCCCAAAGAAGTATGGACAGGCAGCAGTCGTGTTTGATGGATATGATGGTACATCAACAAAGGGAACAGCACACCAAAGACGTGCAAGAGGGAATGCTGGAGCAACGGTGACGTTTGATGAAGATTTGCAGGCTACAATGAAGAAGGAACAATTCCTGGCAAACAAGACAAATAAGTAGCACTTCATCAACATGTTCAGCACCAACCTAGGGGCAAAGAACTGCCAGACACATCATGCTGCAGGTGACGCTGGTCTCCTCATAGTGCAGAAAGCAGTGGAGTCTGCAGCAACCACTGATACTGTGCTGATCGGAGATGACACAGATCTACTCATCTTGCTCATCTACCACACCAACCTCGAGTCATCTGACCTGTTTTCCCAACCCGAGCCAAAGAAGAATGTGAAGAAACCGGGTGTCTGGAACATGAAGTCTGTCAAACAGCAGTTAGGCCCTGATGTTTCACAGCAAATTTTCTTCATGCACGCTCTCCTGGAATGTGATACTACTTCCCGCGTGCATGGCTTTGACAAGGGAGCTTCCCTTCACAAATTCAAAACCAGTGCGCAGTGCGCACTTCCGTTAACAATAAATTAAGCGATTGTGTTTGACAGACCGACAGCGTCCACCGATGATGTTGTAGATCGAAGCAGGAGAGAAAGCCTTGGCTTGCCTGTACAATGGGAAGCATGCAGAGTCGCTCAACGTGGTGCGACATAAGCGGTTCTGCTAGAAGGTCGCCTCCAGCATTTCTCATGTTCAACCCCAAAGTCTACCGTCCACATCAGCAGCAGCGAAACACCACAGCCTTCGTGCCTACTACCAGGCTCGGCAGTGGAAGGGCATTGCAGCTGATGAGCTACGATCAGATGACTGGCGGGAAAGCAGTGGAGGAGTCATGCTCGTACAGAATGACTTGCCACCAGCTCTAGAAGAGCTCCTCAAGATGATCCGCTGCAACTGCCAGATAGACTGCAGCAGTCTGAAGTGCACCTGCAAGAAGCAGAGCATAGAGTGCTCAGCTGCATGTGGCAACTGTAGAGGGTCAGCATGTACGAACTCAACCCAAGCTGCATGTGACAGTGATGACGATGAATAAACTTTTTGAGGAAGATTGATGGATCGAAGACGGTAGTCTGAGGCTATGGTAACTACATGCAGTATTATAATAATTATGACCTATACATGAACGTTGTCCATCAGGCATACGGCATGCCATGGTATATAGTTGACACATCCTCAGAATAATGCTTTTTGGTCAGGTTTAGCTTATTGAAATGTGTGTCATTGGATTCCTAGCCCCAGAAAATGTACGTTTTGCACTATAATTCTAAGCCTTTAGAAGCAGAAATATTGGGAATTATCAGGTTTATGGCAGCCATTTGGGAAAATGGCTGCCATTTCGGCTTTTTGGTCAGGTTTAGCTCATTGAAATGTGTTTCAAAGGATTTCTGGGCCCAGAAAATGTATATTTAGCACTGAAAATCAAAGCCCTAAGTCATTTAGAAGCAGAGATATTGCGAAATATCAGGTTTATGGCGGCCATCTTGGAAAATGGCTGCCGTTTCGGATTTTTTGGCTAGGTTTAGCTCATTAAAATTTAATTAATTTGATTCCTTGTCTCTGGAAATGTATGTTTAGCACTTAAAATCAAAACTCTCTATGTTATTTAGAAGTAGATATATGGGAAATATTAGATTTACAACAAAAATATGTGTTTTATATCGGTTGCTAGGCATATTATTACAATAGCAACGGGAACTAAGCAATATTTATCCTTAAAATTGGATGAAAATGCATCATTTGACATTATACTTCCTATAAAAGTAGTCACCTGCTTTGTGATAGCAATTTCTTGTGATATATTCTATTTTTCACACCAATATATTACCGTTGCTAAGGAGAAGATAGCCCTTAGCAACCAAATTTGCCATTTTGTCTCATAACAAAGTTTCAACTTTAGAGCGCTATAACTTTTTAATTTGAAAAGTAATAGACTTGAAATTTGGATATGATATCAACCAGGATGTTGAACAGTTTTTCAGCAAGTTTCAAGTTGGTTAGCATAATAATCAAATAAATATGGAGAAATATGTATTTTGGCGCAATTCATATTTTTGAAAAAAATGGTAAAAAATCACACTTTTGGCTAAAAATTGGTAAGCAAATCATCCCAAAACCTATTGAATGAGGTATCATCTTGTAGGAAATGTAATTGTCTTTCTTATGACACCTTATTCATGGTAAAATGAGGTGCTGTTAAAAAGTGATCCCCAGAATTGTACAACAGTAGTTATACATGGCGGCCATTTTGAAAAATGGCCGCCACGGAACTTTCCCCCGCCTGGATTCCTTAAGACTTTTGATATGTTATAGAGGACATATTTCTGGGTATAAAACAGTTGACAGACTTTCTGTTGCAATTAGTGAGAGGTTGACCCCTTTTTTTTCACGAAATGCCTGGACTACTAGTACCGTACTAGATTTAGGAAAATCAAGGTTGACGCATTCTCGATAGCCGACTGAGACGACGTGACGCATGCGCAGTGCCTTAAAATGACGTCACACGTTGCAGTCAAAGCTGTCGACGTGCAAATCTAAAAGTCCCTAATATGACGACTACTGCTTCGTTAGGCAAGCACCAAACAATGTTGTGACCCAGTGAAACCAAGTTGGCCAAACTCTTTTCATAGATGGCTCTGCCATATCTCACCTATAAGTTCAGATCCAACAGAGCATTAAAGGTAATACAAAGTTTTGGGAAATTTTGAAAAATGGGTGGATAGTGATTCTTTACAATTTTGATATATTTGGATGCCCTTGTGGGTGTATTATAAGCACTAGAAAATTTAGCCCCTAGAACACTTCTGCTTTCGAGAAAAATTGAATATACAAATTTACCGGTGCTACCGGTTAATTTTGATAAATTTCAAATAGCGCCTACGGCCGTACAGTGGTAGCTGCGACCATGAAATCTCAGAATAAGTAGTTGTGATATATGATTTCCAAACGGGAATAGCAAATCAGTCGATTGTAGTCAAGAAACATTGTTTTATAGCTTAATTAATATCTTGACCTTGAGAGGGAGCTATACAACATGAAGAGTTTATTATTTACAATTTGATAACTTAAGACTCGATTTCAACCGCGACAACGATCACTGAATATTGTAGGATCACATATGCTTTCAATATGTTCCTTCGAACCAAATTCACGACCCATTACCAAAACTTTGTATTACCATCGCAGCTATTTTCTAAAAATCAAGTCGGGGACAATTTCAATACCATATTGTATGTCTGATATAAATCATGTTTTGATTCAGTAATGCATCGTTGTAATGTCCACACACTGATAATGGCGACGCGAAAGCTTGTTGCAATAAGACAGTTCATAGTTGCAGTCTGAGCATGAGCTGATAAAGGTCATTGTACACCAAATTGTGAAATACACGGAGACAAAATACTGGATACGTGCTCATGAAAGTTATGTAATCATTTTTCATTTATGCACAATCATTGCACTCCATGATACACAGCCACAGGTGGAAAGTATTCTTTGAAAAGGGGAAACAAAGGCACCTCCATCGCTGTAGGAATGATTATTTAAAATTGTACAAAGTGGGACCTCTTCATGTTTTGAAGATCTGTGGATATTCGGGGTAACTTGGGACATGTGCTAACCGTGAACTGGTCAATTCAATTCAATTCAAATGAACATTTATTTTCTTCCATTCAATTTGACAAACATATTATTTGACATCTGTTCAAACAATACAATGTATACGTAGAAACATGAATACAATTAAAGAACTTGTATTACAAGGAAGAAGGTGCGAAACCCGATAAGCAGAGCTTGTAATGGGTACGCCCGAAAAAAAATATAACAAATTCATAAAAATCAGAAATAACTGGTAGACTTTTTACTTATCATGTATTATTGGTCCAGAGTGACACCTTTAACATAATAACAATATGAAGGTACATGTACATGGCTAAAGGGAAAGTGGAGAAATAAAAAAGGTGATTTACTCAAGTACCCAAAGTGGATTTAGCTCATTTTGGAATGAAACTCTTCATATATGTATGAAATACGACCCTATTCCAAATCCAACTTCGTGGGAGACAGTGAGCATGGGATGGCAATTAATAATGCTTTTTACAATACTAAATTTCAGGGATATTAATGAATTGATTAAAAAATAAAATAAAATAAACTTAATGATGATGTTGGTGATGATGATAATGACGAGCAGGAGGAAAAGGAAAACGAGGAGGATTGTGATGAGGAAATTAATGTTGGTAATGGTTTTAGTATGATGACGATGATTTTTCTTTTACATTATTTTGTTGTCCTTGCTTGCTTAAGGCATGCCCCCCCCCCCTCCTAGGCTTTATCAAATCCTTGGCCGTCCCATTTCAGTATAATGGTCTTTTCAAATTGGATTGCAAATAAAGTAATGTAGTCCAGACTTTAACAAAGAGGATAAATGATTTATTCCTGTTCATGTCATCAGACCGGAAGAATCTCATGATTTTATTGTCTTACCTGAGAAGTGAAACTGTAAAAATGTCAAATCTTCTCCTTGGAATTTCCAAGAGATGTATATATAGACAATATCATCAGCTTGAGAAGGTTTTTTTTATAATGGCATGGCAGAGAGTATTTCTTTTCATAATCATGGTAACAAATAACTGTTTGCATGATATACGATGCTCCTTCTATCAATACGCCCATTCAACTGTCACCGTTTCGGTTTCAAGATGAGTTTTTTTTTTGTATAAAAAAAAATGTGTGAACTCATACCAGCTATAAGATGTTGCTTTGAAGTCCATTAGATTACAGTTACGGGATAATTGTACGAGAAGCATATTTCATCAGACTAGGAGACATTATAATGTTCATGTTTCCACATGAACCTTGGGCTCACTATGTATTATTTCAACTTGATC